TTTTATACATTTTTTTTGCTTCCTTAATAATGATGAGACTGTATTAGTAGCATCTTAAAAATAATGTATCATGACATTTCTTTTTAAAAAGAAATGAGGCCTGGCACAGTGGCTCATGCCTGTAATCCCAGCACTTTGGGAGGCTGAGGCACGCAGATCATCAGGAGGTCAGGAGTTCGATACCAGTCTGGTTAACATGGTGAAACTCCATTTCTACTAAAAATACAAAAAATTAGCCAGGCGTCATGGCGCCCACCTGCAATCCCAGCTACTGGGGAGGCTGAGGCAGGAGAATCGCTTGAACCCAGGAGGCAGAGGTTGCAGTGAGCCAAGATCTCGCCATTGCACTCCAACCTGGACAACAAGAACGAAACTCCGTCTTCATAAATAAATAAATAAATAGAAATAATTAAAGGTAAATAACAATAAAGCCCATCTTCCTTTAGATTTACTAGGGCGGTAAAAGTGTATTGGAATATGAGACTTTTTCACTTTGTACTCAGGGTTGTTTAATCAGGAAAAAATGGTCCTATTATTTATCCCTATACTAGATGTACTTTGAACCTATTGCAGTGATTCAAATACTAAAGAAAGTTCACCCACTGAATATTTTCCAAGGACCTAATTTGTTAACAAATTAGAAGCTGTCATCTCTGACTTTGTTCATCTGAGATAGAACTGAGGCACTGTTAACAGATCTATTGACTGTGTAAGTCCAAAGTCTTGGGTTGAATTCCCCGAAGAGTGAGTCACACGCATGTATTTACCACAATCTCTCATCCTCTCCATCTCTCCTAGTCCCAGTTAACCAGGGAAAATGACTCATCAAGTTTCTTTCCATTAACAAGAGAAGTTAACATTTTGCTCTAATTCATTAGTTAGCTTTCAGAACAGTCAAACCAAACTTGGTAAACAAAAAGCAATCTTATATTACAGGCTAACACACCTAATGACATAAATTCATTTCTTTTTTCTATTTGGCTTACAATCTAAAATAAATTCCACCATGGTCAAAGTGACCAACGGGAAGAAGTCTGCCCTGATTCAATGAATACAGAGTTATGTTAGCAGTGGAAATCTCATTTTTTTTTTCCTGTGGGGTTGATGGCTTTTTTCTTGAAGATTACTGTGAGTGTCTCGTGTATTTTGGCCTCTCTTGTCATACAAAACTTTTAAAAACTAGTTAAACTTTTGGGGCCAGGTGCAGTGGCTCACACCTGTAATTCCAGCACTTTGGAAGGCTAAGGTGGGCGGATTACCTGAGGTCAGGAGTTAGAGACCAGCCTGGCCAACATGGTGAAACCCCGTCTCTACTAAAAATACAAAAATTAGCTGGGCATGGTGGCATGCACCTGTAATCCCAGCTACTCGGAAGGCTGAGGCAGGAGAATTGCTTGAACCTGGGAGGTGGAGGTTGCAGTGAGCCCAGATCACGCCGCTGCATTCCAGCCTGGGTTCAAGTGATCAGCCTGCCTTGGCCTCCCAAAGTACTGGGATTACAGGAATGAGCCACTACACCCAGCCAGAAAGTTTATTCTTAATTAATAATGTTGGCAAGAAAAGTTTAAGTTCATAAACTGTTTTCAAGAACTTCTACATGCTTAGGCAACACTCCTCCATCTCAAAAAAAAAAAAAAAAACACTAGTCAATTTTTTAACTCCATGACTTGTACTTTGTCATTTTTTATAGAAGGCCTTTTCTTATAGTTATAACTATACTCTATTTTCTTCTAATTATATTTTTTCTGATAGGTTTTAAAAATAAATCATATAGTTAGCACTTTGGTCATTCTGGAATCTCGACGATTAGCAATCCTTCTGGGGGCTCTAAGGTACTTAAAGAAGTTCTAAAGGAACTTCTATTTGAAATCTTTGGAGTCTGGTCAAACAGAAGAGGCTAGACAGGGTAACTATTGGGATATTCCAGTACCACAAGCCAGAATAGGAGGAGGATATTCTCTTAGATCTTTAGCATTTAATAAGTCAAAGTATATGTCAGCCAGGTGCATGTAATTATATACTCACCCCTGTAATCCCAGCACTTTGGGAGGCCGAGGGAGGTGGATCACTTGAGGTCAGAAGTTCAAGACCAGCCTGGCCAACATGGTGAAACCCCATCTCTACTAAAAATACAAAAATTAACCAGGTGTGGTGGTGCATGCCTGTAACCCCAGCTACTCAGGAGGCTGAGGCAGGAGAATGGCTTCATCCTGGAAGGTGGAGGCTGCAGTGAGCTGAGATTGCGCCACTGCACTCCAGCCTGGGTGACACAGTGAGACTCTGTCTCAAAAAAAAAAAAGATGTGCCACCTGGGAGGATCACTTGTCCCCAAGAGGTCAAGACTGCAGTTGCCATGACAACCTGGGCAACAGAGTGAGACTCTGTGCCAAAAAAATATAATAAATAAAAATAAAGTGTATGTTAGGTCTCTTGTACTTTATATAAGGGAGGGATATGTTTTTCACACATGAAGGAGAAAGCAAACACTTTTCATATACAGATAAAGTAATTGAGATGACATTGGAGGATGTGTTTCTAGAGCCAGAGCACCTGCTATCCTTGGGAAGATATTTAAACACAGTGCCCCAGGTGCTTTGCCTATACGATGGAAATAGTAACGGGACCTTCTCTTCCGTTGTGGAAATGCGGTGAAACAGTTCATGAACAATGCTTTGAAAAATGTCTGACATAAGCCCTCAACAAATATTAGCTAGTATTATTATTACATAAGAAAGTAGAAGAATTCTGCAAGATAATCATTACGGGCAGGTGGCAACTTCTGAAAACACCATGCTACAAGTTTAGAAGTCAATGACATTGATATGAGAACACTTATATCTTCTGAAACAATGTTATATATTATTAACCTAATATACCTAATCTATTTTACTCATAAAGTACCTAAAATTCAGTTTCTGGTCACTACGCCTTTCACAGCATTGTTCCCATGGGGAAATGTGCTTTTAGTCCCAAGATGTTTTTATTTTTTTATTTTTTTTTGAGACAGAGTTTCGCTCTTGTTACCCAGGCTGGAGTGCAATGGCGCGATCTCGGCTCACCGCAACCTCCGCCTCCTGGGTTCAGGCAATTCTCCTGCCTCAGCCTCCTGAGTAGCTGGGATTACAGGCACGCGCCACCACGCCCAGCTGATTTTTGCATTTTTAGTAGAGACGGGGTTTCACCATGTTGACGAGGATGGTCTCGATCTCTTGACCTCGTGATCCACCTGCCTCAGCCTCCCAAAGTGCTGGGATTACAGGCTTGAGCCACTGCGCCCGGCCCCAAGAAGATGTTTTAACAATCTTTAGGAGTTTCTAGATTTCTACTTCTGAATATGTAAATATATAACCAGAATTTCAGAACAGATAAACTCCAGTGATAAAAAAATAAAAATTTAAATTAAAAAAAAACTTGTTTTTATAATAACGAAAGGAAACAAGCCACTAGGACCACTTCACTAAGAGTTCATAATTTTTTCTTTTTTTGAGACGGAGTCTCGCTCTGTCACCCAGGCTGGAATACAGTGGTGCAATCTCCACTCACCAAAACCTCTGCTTCCTGGGTTCAAGTGATTCTCCTGCCTCAGCCTCCCAAGTAGCTGGGATTATAGGCACCTGTCACCAAGCCCGGCTACTTTTTGTATTTTACTACCTAAAATACTCTCTACAAGACACGGGTTTCATCACGTTGGCCAGGCTGGTCTCAAACTCCCGACCTCTGGTGATCCACCTGCCTCCTCCTCCCAAAGTGCTGGGATTACAGACGTGAGCCACAGCACCTGGCCAAGAGTTCATCACTTTGTTTTGGGTAATGTTGCTGGCACTGACTCAGTTTAAAATTGATTGATGTTAGCTGAAAAACAAATACAGCGTTTTCAGGTCTCCTGCCCTGCTCGTTCCCAGTAGAGGTGCAGGTGCCTGCTTTATCTTCCAACACGGAATTAACAGAGAGGCCCAGGTTCACAATGTTCTGACTAACCTGAAACAGAGAGCTCTTTATTGAGATCGGTGCCACTTGGTGGTTTTCCATATAAACCCGTGAAAATGGCTATTTATGTCCGGGGACGGGGCTGCTAAGCCCTTCTGCTGATCCCTCCTTCCGGGAAGGGAACTGACAAGTGAGAAAGTCCAGCTGGAGAAAGAACAATGAGCCGCCCAGGAGTCCACAGCAGCCTGCCGCGGTTCAGACTCACTCCGACCCTAAAAGGGCTGCAAATGGATGACGTTCAACAGATGTGCATCACACCCATGCTGATCGCTAAATACGGAAATGGTGTCCTGTCCGAGGGTGAATGGGTGCTGCCCCAGCCTCGTGCCAGCAATGCGGGGTTACCACCTAGTTGGGCAGGGCTGTGTCTGGAGTTGAGTCTGTGGGTGGAGGCCCCGCTGAGGAGGGTTTTGCCCATCACACTCGTTTCTCAGATTCAGTTACACATCCAGCAAAATTCTCAGAGGCTGTGTGGTCCGTAACTTCCTGAAGAAGTCTGGGCTTGCACCCTGAAGGGTGGGCACTGTGGCTGTCACTATGGTGAATGTCCATATGTCCTAAGAGACGTGGCCTCCACCGCTCCACTGGCCTCAGATCTTACTACTATTTCGCTGTTTCATTTGTCTCACCAGCAGCAGATAGGGTTACCAGGGCAAATACTGAAAGAAAAACACCTACCCAAAATTCAAACGTGGCTCCTGGAATATTTAGAAGTAACACGGTGTGATGGCAGGGATAGGTTTCAACATACTCCAGAGGAACAAAAACGTGGGGGTGGAGGAGGACAGATAAGACAGTAAAATGTCAAAGTGTTGAAGCTAGGTGGTGGGTCTGTGACAATTCATTGAATTATTCTATTTTGTGCATGTTTCAAAATGTCCACAATAGACAGTCACATGAATAATAAAACCTAGTTTTTAAAACTATCGAAATCCCCTTCCAGGGTAAGTAGCTCTCCCAGGGCCCCCACATTAGCAAAGGGGGATACAGAACTCAAACTCAGATTATTATTTTTTTTTTTTTTTTGAGGCGGAGTTTCGCTCTTGTTACCCAGGCTGGAGTGCAATGGTGCGATCTCGGCTCACCGCAACCTCCGCCTCCTGGGTTCAGGCAATTCTCCTGCCTCAGCCTCCTGAGTAGCTGGGATTACAGGCATGTGCCACCATGCCCAGCTAATTTTTTGTAGTTTTAGTAGAGATGGGGTTTCACCATGTTGACCAGGATGGTCTCGATCTCTTGACCTCGTGATCCACCCGCCTCGGCCTCCCAAAGTGCTGGGATTACAGGCTTGAGCCACCGCGCCCGGCTCAAACTCAGATTCTTATTGTTGTTTTCCAAAAAGTTCCAAGTCCAGAGCTCCTGGCACTCCTTGATATGTGGCCAAGGATGCATGCCAATGCAAGAGTAGTGCCAAAAGGTGTTGTTAGGGATCTCAAACACCTTCCTATGACGCACCCTTCCTGGTAGTCCCAGCTACCTCGACATGTTTTATTTCAGTGCATACCAAATGTTAAATATTAACTTTCTACAGCCAGCTAAGGAAGCCAGGAATGATTGTATCAGCTCACCTGTCGCAGGTCTCCCGTGGAGACACTAATAATAAGAGTTGGGATGATCATGAAGCAGGCATTGTAGAAAAGCACTCCGTATTTCCCTAGCTCCTGCAAAAACAGAAACAAAAAAGAAAACCACTCAATTTTGCAGACATGAGGCATGGATTTCCTGGAGCCACTTATACTACTGCATATTCATACAAAGTTAGAACACGCATTCTGAGCAACTCTATTGGAATATTTTCAGCCAATTTCTGACACAAAATGCTTCATTTTGAGGGTACTGAGATTTTGGAATAAACATTTGTTTTACACCAAAACTACAGAGAAAACACATGGCAGAGGAAAGCCTCTAGGGTCCCCTTCGTCTGCAGCATTCTAATTGTGTGGGCTTTTTAAAAGCATGTTATTCAAAATGGGAAATCAGGAATGAAATAAAGAACATTAAAAATGTTAATATAAACAAAACTCTTTCAAAAACATCTGCTCTTTCCACTAAAGAACAGCAGCATTCTATATTTACTTTCATTAAAGTGGCCACCCCACTTCACCATTTTCAAAAAAGGATGACATATTGTGATACGCAAAAGACAACAAACCAGTTTTTGTAAAACTGCCACCATTTAAAAAAAAAATGGCCATGCGGGGGGTAAAAAACAAAACAGTGGAGATAAAAAAATATATAGCTCATGGAAATAAGCCTGCTGGTCAGAGTGAACTCCCTCATCCAGCACAAAGAGCTTGGAACAAAGAAACATATGTCTGACTCCTCCTCCCCAGCTTCCTGTAACAGCTGGGGGTGCGGGAGGGACGGGGCCACCACGTGACAGGCAGACACACAAAAGCAGAGCTCCTCTGCCCCAGCCCCTCATCATCAGAAGCATCAGCTATTGCCGGAGGAGACCTTACAAATTATCCATTCCAGTCATTTCACTCCACGGGTGAGGAAACCAAAGTTTGGAGCAAAGTTACGGCTCAAAGTCACAACAGCCAGTAAGCAGCAAAACTTGTATCTGTAACCCACATCCCCAGACCCCAAACTAGTGCTCTCAGAACAAACACTGTGACCCCTGACCTTGCCTTGTTCACTGATAACGCTGGTATAAAAGTTAATTTGCCTTTCCAAATAATCTCTTTTTATACATTCTGAGTGTGCATCTAAACTAGTAGCTTTGCCCATCCTATCTCATTTTCATCCAAAATTTTGCAAATAATAAGAATTTATACAGATAATTAAAAAGAATTCGTAATTTACAGGTCATATTATATAGGTTAAATTACGGACCAGCTGTACACATTCATTTTCACTTTGCATGTTATTCTAGGGGCCAGATGACATAGCCAAAACGCCATAGGCAAGATCTGATACCTTTGGGTCCATTTTCTGTTTGGTATAAACTCCGTTTGCTGCTGTGAAGATATCATTCAGGAATACAAAAATATAGCCTTCTAAGTTAAAAGCAAGGTCGGACCTGGGAAGGAGACCGCAAAAGGAGAATGATTATTCAAAAACTCACAATTTGGCCTCCAAGCCAGCCTGTTCTATCTTTTGCTAATCAAACCTGCCTTTCTGTGGCACACTTTCCCTGCTTTGTGGTAGTGAATGGTTAATTCCTCTGCTTTGCCTCCAGACAAAAACCAAAACGGCCATCAGGTGGCTTCAATTCCATCGTGAATGGCTTAAAACCAGAGGGACACTAACCATCTTCCTTCAACTGCAACCCCTTTCTTTTGCTAGCTGATGAATCCGCGTAACAATCGGTGAGCCCTGACTTTCCGAAGGGGAGTCTTTCGCCCCAACCCACCCAGGGGCTTTGCTTATTGTAGTGAACAGGTCCAACCCCAGGGTGCAGCCAGTGAGGGGCAGCTGGGCAGAGACTGGGTAGGAGGGGTCGTGTGAGACAGTGACACCTCCATCTGGACCAAACCGCACCCTGTCCACCAAAATGGCCAGGTAGGTATCCATCCTTCTATGTTGCCCCTCTAAGGCTCCTTTCTTCCCATTCTTTTCAAATATCTTCTCTTCCATTTCCATTGTAAATGGCACCAGCGTAAAACATCTGGGAGCAATGACAGGAAGGAGGGAAGCACAAGGGCTGAGCCGTGGCACGGCTCACCACCTGCACTTCGTCCTTGCAGACAGTGCTAGACCCATGTCATAACTCAGAAATATACATTGCCAGGGAGGAAAGCCTTTTCCCGTACCCCCTTAGGTTCAGTGCCTGTGGGCCCGCTAATTTAACTGACAAAAGACAGATTAACAGGAGGAAGAGAATACAAATCTTATTAATATGTTCCCCGGAGTTCACAGAAAAGAAGTGAAACTCAAAGAAACAGTTAGACTTGGGGACTTACGTTTTAACGAAGGAAAGAGGATTTGGGCTTTGAGGGACAAATACATTGTGTAATGATTAAAAAGTAACTAGGAAATCTACGGTGGAAATGATGAATGAGAAGGGTTATTTTAGGGTTTGTTTCTGCAGACGCATCGCAGGGCTGACCCTCCGTTCAGTGATAGGAATTGCTCTCCTCTTCCTGAGATGGGAGAAGGGGCCCCTTCACAATGGGAAATTGATACCATTATCAATTAAATGGCTTTTTAGGCAGAAAGGAGAAGGCAGCAAACTTGCTGCATCTGTGGATTCTTAACTGTCCTCGGCTCAAAAGCATCCTGATCCCATAGTGGCATATTTTGCAGTGGCATATCCTGAATCTTCTTCAATGTCAAAATAAGATTATCTCTAACCAAAGAGAATGAAACAGCAAAAATTGTACCAAAATCTGAATGCAAATTAAACTAGATGTTGGCTTCAGGCCTCCACACATTATTATCTACAAATATATTTGTGAAAAGGGATTAATTTTAGGTCATCATAAGTCAGAATTATCTCTCAGTCACAGTTTAAAAAAGAAGGATTTTCTCCAAAATCAGGGTCTTCCAAATCTCTTACCTACCCACTTGTGATTCATCGAGAAGAGCAGAGTCTGGCGCCCCCTGAGATGGCAGAGCTAAGAGAGTGGACAGGGGATGGGGGAGATGCCGCCCACCTCCTCAGAGAGCTGCAGGGAACGCCTACTCAGGGGACCAGAAGTTCCCAGCAGCGCTGTTCCCACTCCCAGAAGCTGGGACCACTGTCAGGTGGCTTACCCACTGTTTGTTAAGGCTACTGGTGACAGCACAGACGTTTCTGAAGAATTCACTTGTTTAATCAATTACAGAAAATGTATGTAACCCCTGCAGCTGTTCAAACGATGCTCCCACCTTAGTCTCCTGAGAAGCCGGGACTACAGGCATGTGCCACCGTGCCCGGCTAATTTTTTTTTACATTTATTTTTGTAGGGACAGGGCTCACTATGCTGCCACGGCTGGTCTTGAACTCCTGGGCTCAAGCAATCCTGTCACCTGGGCCTCCCAAAGTGCTGGATTGTCAGAGGCCTGTGAACCAGAGCAACTCCAACTTACAGGGGGGCTGGGTGAAATGAGGCTGAAACCTACTGGGCTGCATTCCTAGACTGTTATGGAATTCTAAGTCACAGGATGAGATAGGAGGTCAGCACAAAATACAGGCCATAAAGACCTTGCTGATTAAAAAAAAAACCTTACTGGCCGGGTGCGGTGGCTCCCGCCTGTAATCCCAGCACTTTGGGAGGCCGAGGCGGGTGGATCACGAGGTCAAGATATCGAGACCATCCTGGTCAACATGGTGAAACCCCATCTCTGCTAAAACTACAAAAAATTAGCTGGGCATGGTGGCACGTGCCTGTAATCCCAGCTACTCAGGAGGCTGAGGCAGGAGAATTGCCTGAACCCAGGAGGCGGAGGTTGCGGTGAGCCGAGATCGCGCCATTGCACTCCAGCCTGGGTAACAAGAGTGAAACTCCGTCTCAAAAAAAAAAAAAAAAAAAAA